ATCATCCGCGCAGCGCTTAACAGCGAAGCAAGCGTGGTGTCTCCATTGTCTTTTTGACTACTTACGTCTTCATTAGTTCGCTTCGGCGTTGACGAGCCCTCCACGGTCGCGCCACCTTTTGTCGGTGAGGTATCGTTGCCAGTCACATTGTTCTGATGATTCTCCGTTGTTGATGCTGACTCACCCGCTGTACCTCTGCCGACGGTTTTAGCACTAGTCGGACTTGCTGGAACACCCAGACCCATGCCAAACCCTCCCCTTCCTATACCATAAACGCTGGGTGCATAGAATCCGTATCCATACCACGGCCCGTACGGAGATGCCCCATTCGGTGTCATCGACGCCGAGAACGGTGCTGGTGTGAATGCGTGAGGCGAGGCTGATGCCAGAAGCACGGATTGTCGCCTTCCTTTGCCTTTCGGTGTCTGCGGGAGCGCACCTGGGGTAGTGTAGACACCGTGCGCGGTGGAGTCATCCAGGCGGCCAGATTGTAGAGCTGAAGTGGACTCCTGCCGAACCTGGTCGTTGTTCAATGCCATCTCTGATAGTGCATTCGTGCGTATGCGGCCGAGTCGCCGAGCAGCGAGTAATATGTGTTCTGAACGAGCATCGGAGAACAATGTACTTGGGTACTTGAGGTGTTTGGTAGCGTTCGAGCGCGGTTTCTTCACAGGTGCGGGGCGAACGGGTGAGGTTTGGACGTCGCCATCCTCTGGAACAGATGGCAACACTTCTCGTTCTTTCCCCTTCCCCTTCGGCACCAACGTTATGTTTGAGGCGAGAGGCGAACGAAGGAGCCCTGTGGTAAGATACGCAGACGTTCCGTAAATGGTCGTTGGCACTGATATTGGTTCATTATCGGCATCAGTCTCAACCTTCGACTGTCGCATAAGAAGTAGCGGTCGCAGCTTCGCTAGCTCTGCCTCCAAGGATGACAGACGCAGCTGAGTAGCTGCAAGCTAGACAATCAGAGTTGTAGTGCCCATGTACATCAGCATTTCCACGACACACCTTCTCCCGCAAGCTCTTGTTATCCGACTCGTAAGCTGCGCATTGCCGTTCGACGTCGCTGGCATCTCGCTTGCGCCCGTGTCCGGAATTGGCAGCAACGAGTGCCTCCGCCGTCCGTAGCCATTCTTCTCGCTCACTCTCCAACTTGGCCATGTTATATTCTGCTTCCTCGATGAGTTTGTCGCGCTGTGATATAAGTGCGGAGATAGTCTGCGCCTGGTTCATAAGTTGTAGATGTCCGTCCTTCGATGTTGAAGCCGATGCCACGGGCGAAGTGAGTTGGAGCACCTGGACATGTCGGAAGTGATATGTAGGGACACGCCAGTTCAAGTTGTAGGACCAATGCGACGCACAATGTCAGCAAGCTCCCGTTCCCTCTGAGTCAGTCCCTGAGACTCGGCCTCCATCTCCAGTACGCGGTGCCGCATTTGAACCACAGTATCGTCGTCAGACGGAGGCGGGGAGAAATGCATTATATCGGAGAGCGTCAGAGTGGGTGCTTCTACCGTGTTCGAGCTGGTCGAAGCTTCTCCAGAAGGCTCCTTGTTCATCCTGAGCAACAGCGACGAAGTTCGGAACGATCACAACAACGACGGTGGACTTCAGAATCAAGATTTACACGCGCATGATCACGTGCGCTGAAATTATCTCGTAAGCATCTTCAGACTTGCCCTTGATCATCGCAGACTTGCTTGGTGCCTCCTTGGGTACCTTGGGTGTTTACTTTTCTGGGCGGGGAGGGGGGGCAATATTTGCTGTGATGGACAGTGATGACCGATGTGTGTGCCACGCTTAGCCTTTAATTTGAAGGTATCGTGAAGCATCATCTTTCAATCGACCACTTGACTTCGATTCACAGCCCCCAGAAGGAAGTAGCATCGCAGTGATTGCAGCTCGGTCATTGCTAATAAAGTGGAACCGTCCTCAAGTCAATTTGGAGCTTCCAAGAAACTTCCTGAACGTGCATTTCTCGGATAAAAAATCAACATTTACTGATCATCGCATTACTGTGATTTGTGCAAGTTGTCACCCCTACGCCAGTAGCTACATTTCTGGACAGTGGTGGGTAAACAATGGCCCCGGACACGATCCTTCATGCAGGAAGACGTGTGGTAACTGCGACTCCTGCGCCTCTGTGGTCCCTGGCTTCCGATCTTGACCACTGAACTTTCGCGAACACAGTAGGCAAACCGCAAGGGCTGTTAAACCCTGCTCGGAGCGCCGAATAAGTCTCCAAATGGCTCGTGAGTGTCCCCTTGGCCCTCACCTCATGTTATGTGAAGTGAATGCTCTGCTCAATTTGTACAAAGTGATACATATATATAGCGCCGTAGACGAGTCAAGTGTGCAGACATGAGGAGTCGACGCGTTTCGGGCAACGTCAAGAGCACTATATGTGGGTTCTCCGAAGCACAACAGAACAATGTGTACTGATTCAGCGCTTTGTTTTGGCAGGTTCCGTAGGCTTTGGACTGGTAGCGATGTATCGGTGTGAATTTGGGACTTAGACAGGCCACGCCCATAGGTGCTGCTTTACATGCACGAACGTCGCAGCCCTCAGCGAACTGATGCAGATATGCTGCGCTCGCTGCATAAAATCTAGCCGAACCTCAGTTTCGCCCAAACTTCCCAGCTAATTTCGTGGCTCTCAATGTCTGACACCAACACGAACGGTGCCTCTGTTTCGTCCGTCTTCTCTGAACTCTCGACAGTGCCTTCACCGGGAGGAGAGGCGCCCCCTGTGACCGACCTCATCCGCCTGCTTCTACAAGTCGTTGCGCAAGATGTCTGTTCGTCAAAGCGCAACACGATGAGCCTCTATTCGCTCCTCAGCAGGTCGAGGGACATCTGTGGCGAACTCCACAATCTCATCAAAAATGTGGACGATACTGGAGATTGGGACAGCTACGAGTCTTACTCGTCAAAAGTGCAACCCCTAGAAGAGTTAGTTGACTTGGCTTCATGATTTCGATTGCATGCTGAATCTGAATTAGGTTGCTCTATAAGCTATTTGAGTTGACGGGCGACGAGTCTACCAAGGACTGGCCTAGCGACCGCAACGTCTTGACTCATCTTTCTTATGCAGACACCTGGGCGAAGAATAGAGATCTACTCCACAAGGATCTTAACGAGATTGGAGGCGATACGTTCAAGGCATGTCCTAGCTCATGTTTCTTCGATACGTCGTTCTAACTCACTATAGGGACTCATCGAGGAGCAGTCATCCGATAATTTTGATTGGGCCAAGAAACACGATGATCTGGCACTATTCCATACCGTCCTTGAAGGCGTGCATAAACAATTTGCTGCGTTCGCAAGTGTGTTCGTAAACTTTCCATCATTTCTATTGCCATAGTACATACTCTCTGACCTCGCACTACTCTTCAAGGGTCGCACCTGCTTTCACCCGATCGGAGTCATACATCACTGTCCGAGACAAAGTCAAGGGATTCGAAGGCCAATTCGCCGGCGATACAAAGGTAAATTTGAGTTTGAATTTTAGCGTCATGTGTGTCTGAGCCCCCGGAACAGACACCGTCGTTTGTCATTGCCACTAAATTTGTAGTTGTCATGGACGGGTTGCTGGGGTTCGTTGCAGACAAAACCCAGTCAACCGAAAAGAGGAGAGATCTGCTTGGAAAGGACTTATGGAAGGCCGCCAAAGAGTATGCTGTCCTACACGTTTCCTTGAGCACTTTACTAATAGGAATGGTGTCGGTAGCGTCGCCGAAAAGCTTGACCAACCTTCATGGGAAGAATTCGTCAGACTTTTATCGGTAAGAAACGCCCCGTATCCCATGCTCATAAACCATTTTAACGCTTTCTGCTTCAGAATGCCGCCCCCTCAGATATTGAGGATCTGGTAAAGCTGGTAAAGCGGATTAGAAGGCCGTTCCATTCGCAATCCCTTGTGCTCGTTAAATTTTGCCATCAAATTCTGGGCAAAGTCAAAACGGATCAGAAGGAGCCCGGTGCATTGAAGAGGTCAGCCTTGAACTGAAACCCCCGTACTCACTGACTCAAAATGTGTTCCAGTGCTCTTGCTGCAACTGAGGAGGCTCTGTCCGCCGCAGCTGATGTCGTGAAGGATAACAATGCTTTACTGAAGTTCGAAGTGGACGTAGCCAAGAAAACAGCGGCCGAAGCCAAGTTCAACACTGCGACAGCTAAGATAACGGAATGCATCACGACATATGCTGTCAGTTGTTCTTCTCTTCCGTGCTATGCAATTATTGACTCGCTTTCTTAGTTGGCAGGATCAGACCCCTTCAAAAATTTCGCAGAAAATACAACCACCGCACAGGCGTTGGATAAGCAATGGATGGATAAGCGAATGTCCATAATTAGGGCAAGTCATCTTCGTCCACAGAATGCCAGTGTTTTTTCAACATGATTGCACACTCAGGGCAAACATACTGGGGGGTCCACAGATCTCACGCCTGTGAAAGTGACCATATCAAACCCTCCAGCCGGTCTTACCGCCACCAGCCAGACACGTACGTCCTCAGGGTCTTGCTTCCCTCGTTCCTGATATACCATCTTTTTATAGTTACTGTTGAGAAGACTTGCTCAGCAAGCACGCTTTTATCCCATTCATTGGCTCGGTTACAAAAGGATTTCAAAGGCACATTGCCACATAAATGTCATCTCGCAGATCCAGGCAAGAGCGACGAGGTCATCGCAGGTACCACCTTAGTAAGTGCAATCCCGGGTACGATCACTCTTGTATTCAAGGTTCGTGCAACCTCCCTCTTGACTCGGTTTTAACTGACAAAGTATCTAAAGTGATTATGACCATATAAACAATTGCCATGTCTTCCTTGCTTTCATCACTTCGTTATATACAGTGTATATACTGGCACTGGACTACGCTGTACCGTTTTCACTCATTCAGTATGGACTCCTTTAATTATGATCATCGCATTCGATACAGGCGCCCGATGCACGCTGAGGACGCCTTGGTAAACATAGGTAGCGCTCAGTAAAGGGCCCGCGTTGTCTAATGGCTATGACGTCAGACTTCTACCAATCAAGAGCATCTGGAGGTTGCGGGTTCGAGTCCCGCCGTGGGTTTGTATTTTGCACAAGTCCTTTAGGAGAGGTCCCTGTCGAATAGGAGCCTCATTTTTTGCTGGACATCCATGCCCCGTTCCGAGTGTCCTGTGACATTCGAAGAATTACCGCTGGGAATCTTTGATTGTCATATTGCCTCACCCCTTCCTCATGCCCAGACTACGGTAATGCGTATATAAACCAAAAGGCCACAGCCTTGCCTCCTTGCCTCCTTGCCTCCCTCGCAACATGGCTGCAGCAATTACGTTCCATGAAACCACACAGCCAGTATGGCCATCGCAACGAGTGTCGGTCCTTATGAAGTATACGGTAATGATCCTCGAAGACGAAAGCTTTGAGGGGTACTATCATCACTTCAAGCACGAGGCAAACGGGTAAGCACCAGCACCTTGTCGCTCTATAGATTAGTCTAAAAAGTGAACGTGAAGTCTCCTTGACGGTGTCGTCAACCTGTGTAGAAGCCGCAAGCCAGAAATGGCCAGCCTGGCAATGGCCTGCGAGAACACTCGAGTACGCCTTGGGTCGTTGTTGGAGCCGGTACGTTGTAACCCAAATGCCCTTTAACATGCGCCTTAGTTGATGCTATCAACGATTAGCTCCGTCCAAATGTATACAAAGATTTTCAGGTGGATTATGATAATGCACTAGCGGAAGACGCAACTACCGAGGGATGGAGCCCTTTAAGTTTGTTCAGCAAGGTATGCTCAGATCATTGAACTGTCGCTTCAAAATGTCAATTTCCCACTTCAGAATTCACGGAAAGAACTTGGAGGCAAGATCAAGAATGTCCGAATTATCCATTCAAAAGGATCACTGGATGACGAAAGCGATTGGGAAAATAACTTCGGTAAGACTTCTGTAAACCAGCTGCCCATCATATACATTGATTACCTTCTTCTGGGTAGAAGACTACTACGCACTTGACCCAGTGTATCTCATCCTTTGGCGGGCAATGCTCTTGAGATCCGTCAAGGTCCACTCGAATCCGCGTATATACGGATTTTCCAAAGCATGGAGAAAATGGGTGCAGCTATCCTTCCAACAGAGCATACAAGATGTCGGCGCTGGCCCGTTCTACATTTTTTGCGATAGACAATTGCCGATTACCTTCGGCGACCAGCTGTATGGTAATATGTTCAAACAACAAAATGGACAATCCCAATATTTGTTGAAACGTACGCCACGAGATCACTGTCGTTTGAGCTTTGATTACTAAATGTCTGGTTCACTAGGACCTTCCGGGGAACTTGTTAGACTCTACACCCCATCCGCAGGCGGCATGATGGCAGAGTGGAGCAAGGATTCACATAGCGGTCGTCTCCCGGACTATGTGGACGCTTTCAATTCAATCCTGCTTGAAGTTGATAAAAGCTGGAGTATTCGGCATGCCGACGTATCTGGGATGATACCAGAGGACAATAGATTCCAGAAACTGTCGATGCGAATGCCCGAGCCCGATATATATCTGGAAAAGCAGGAGCGAAAAGATACAACATTCACGCTCTGCGATTCGATGCCCAACCCTCATTCCAACGCCATGCCCGTACTAGATGCTCCTGCAGAATCGCAGCCGAGCGGGACGATCTTTGCCCCTCCAAAAAGGGCAGATACAGACGCAACTTTGGTCGACTCGAGCATCTCACCAACTATTCCGCGCTATCAACGGCCCATGGAGCGCACCATGCCGCCACATATCAGAATCCCGCATCAAAAGGATATCCCAAAATTCTCCCCTGCGACCCCTAATTCTACTCCTTTGCTAACCCCTCAATCGGGATTGGCGGGGATGATGATGGTGTCTGCTGCTCCCCTTGCTGCTATTGGTGGAGGCCATATTCTTCCAATGCGTACCCCCGTATCCCCCGAATCGGCGGGGAAAAAGGTAAGCTGAATAATTCAAGTAAATGAACACCCTGACGACAACGATACATCTCAGCACTGGTATTCGCGACAACCAATGGCTAAATTCCGAAGTCCGGGAGCATGATGTCTCGAGCATGAGCTGAGGTTGATGATCCTGTACTTACTATACCACATATCTCGAGGAGTTGGCAGGTCTCACTCACGATTGTGTGGTCTGTATATTACATGCTGTTTGTACAAGTGTTGGTTATGACTGAATCCTATGCCTAATTTCTCGTCTATGGCGCCGCCTTCTTCACAGGATGAAGGTTCACCTCGAGCTTCTTCAGCGAGTCTACTGCGTCAGAAATATTTTTGGGGACGTCGCTCCCAAATAGACTCAACACGGCGTCCGCCAAACCCTGAATCTCCGCGAGAGGATCTCCTTCTGCATAATCAAAGTAGTTGAAGCCCGGGCCCGCGAACGCCCCATCGCCTAGTGGTTGAGTCACCAGCCATTCACAAAGGGGTTTCAGTGTCCCTGTCATGATAGGGAAGATGCTCTTGACCAATGCGTCGCGGCGACCGTCTTTGCGAGAATGTTTCCAGCAATTCTCGATCGTCAACAAGAGCAAGCAGTACGTAGCATCCGATAGACCCGCCACCTAATGAGGGGGAGCTTTAAATTCGTTTGGGGTGCATACGGGGGTCAAACGTACGGCGGCTATTTTTGGGTCCTTGTAGTCTGGCGTCTTAGGATTGTCGATGGTTTTAATGACAGCGGGTGGTGGTGCTTGTAAAAGCTTGGCGAACTGAAAGAAATGGGCTAATTCGCTCGGATCTTCGTCGTGCGACGAACCGCCAGCTCCTTCTCCTTGTTCAATGATAGTGTCGAATGCCGCGGCTGCAGTCTTGATATCTACGACTTGAATGATGCCCCCGGATGGTCGTGTATAGTAGATTCCGTCGTCCGACGAGAACTGAAAATCAGCAGATGTAGGGTCAATGAGATCCGGAATCTTCGGCAGGAGGTTATTCATTGCTACAAGATATATGAATGTTAGTTGCATGACCTTCAGTCGTAATCCTCAACAAATTCACCGATCTTAATGGCATCATAGAATTGGCCGAGACTGTGATATTGTTCTGATTCCGGTGGAGAGCCGCTGACCTCTGGGAGCTCGACCTATGTGCATTGTGCTGTCAATGAACGCCCAGATATCTGAAGTTGTTCTGCGGACGAACGTGGAGATATGAGAGGACCTGGTAAAGGTCGGGTCTGCGTAAAGAGAGAATGACGGGTGGGTCTGCGTGCCCTGCCATGTGCATGGGGTATTTGGGAAAGTATTCCAAATGTCCTTTCTTGGGGTACAATGTAGGGTTTCCCCCAACGGCTTTCAGCGCATTACCAGCGAGTACGAGATGCAGCATCTCCTGGATGACTACGGCTGTGGCATGGAAAGTGAGTACTGCCAGTTGCTTCAACATCGAGGTATGCAAACCTACAAAACAACGTCTTGCGGGCATCTGTTTTATCATTGGCCTGATCGACGGAGTACATGCCGTACAAATATGTGGGGATCGTGCTAAGCTCGACCATTATCGCGAGCTGCAGATGTTCTTGCAGAGACTTGACGTCGTCGATGTGCGCGATGCCGCCTTCAACTCGGTCGGGCTTGGGCAGGGTGAAGGAGCCGAAACGCGGCAGCCAAGTCGGGTGTTGGCCAAGGACGACATTTCCGTAGCGTTCTCCAGACATGGTGTATAGCGTGTGGGTATGGGCGAGCAGCGGTATGAAGATATCTTGAGGGATGCTAGCGGTTTATAACCCCAGGACGTAGAATGCCGCAGAATGTATCTTAGATCCATGGTGTACCTGGAGGCATTGAACTGACCTATCAAATTTTTTGAGGGTGTAATACGAGGCAGCACGCTTGCTAAACGTCCGAACACCACATGATCGAGTTCATTATTCGTATGATCAGACCGCAACTACGCAAATGCGTATGGCAGTGCCAACTAGAAGCCTTGAAGTGACGCGCGAAGGCGATAGGCGAAGAGATAATGATAATCGGAGACCATTTCTGTAACCAAATGAAATGCAGATGACGGGCAACTCCACGATTCCCCTTGAACGTGGTGGGGTCGGCCGCTTGGGATCCTATGTGAGAACAATCAAAGCGGAGGATTCTGAGGCCGTGTTTCGATTCGTCGAGAGCTAGTCCACGGGGCTAGTCAGACGAGCATCTAACCTTGACAGAGATTGACTGGCAAAGATTATGCCGCAGGCGACACGATAAGATGTTGTAGACGACCCATGACTGATCCTCGACCATTCATTGGCTAGAAGTAAAGCAAGCCGGACTTGCACAGACTTTCGATCGCCAAGCGATCGGGGTTATAGATCTGAAGTGCATTCTACCTGCTCGTAACGAATGGGAGGGTAGACTGGATTGAGAATCTGTAGAGTACCCGGGTATCGTACAAGTATTGGGACCTACAAAGGAACAGAAAATTACAAATGAATCTAGAGTTTCAATGCATCCATTTTACAAGGCAAAGACAGACGAGGCAGCGGCAACGAGCGCCAGAAGTACGGAAAACAAGGGGCCACTTGGATTAGGTGAGGCATTGTTGTTGTTCGTACTGCCACCAGATGTATCCGACGTGGAGTTGTCAGAACCTGCGGCGCCACCAGAGCCGGGTCCCGACGACCCAGAAAACGTGGGAGCTGAGCCTGACGAAACCGTCGTAGGAGTCGCGGCAGCGTCCGCGTTGTAGACCCGGATGTAAGGTATTTCGAAGTACGCCTCGTTGTAATTGCTTCCATCACCAAGGACGTTGTCCTCGTACTAGATCGAGAAGCATCAGTATTACTGCAGAGCACGATGTGATAGGAGCTTACGCAGTTCTTCGTGGGTGGCGGACATGTCTGATTGTAGACGGGCGTAGCGCTATGGGAAGAATAAACAGCCGGAAACAAGACGAGGCAAAGTGAGTCTCACAAATCACCGCAGAGTGTTAGATCCAGGATAAGTTGCTGTGGAGTGAAGTGGTCTTCGATCCGGCAGCTAGAAGAGGGCCACGCGGCTGAAGGCGTACCCCAAGAGGAGGTGTCTATCGATGAAGACGCCGTGGCACTCCGTAAGTTCTCTGGC